TGTGAACAAGATATTTCTTTTTTGGAAAACAAAAAGGATTTTCCATTTTTGTATTTGAAACTGAGTATGTGTGTGTGTGTAAGAGAAAGCTTGCCATAAGTCTGCTGCATTTGAACAATCGAAATAATTTCATATTTATTTATGATATATAATACAACCAGTTAAACAATTTTATAAACCAAATTACTTTATTTTCTTTTGTCTTATTTAAGCTTCTTCTTTCTTTTATTAACAATCTATATTTTTTATTTATTTTATTTTCTTTTTGATTTCATGTTTTTTTTCAATTTAGATTTAAGAATTATTATTTCATATGCTTACTTAACAAAAATTCAGTTTTCTCTCTGTTATTTATAAACATTTTATTTATCTTTGAGGTTATTATACATATATATGCCAGGCTTAAAGTAAAGTAAATGTGTTTAGTATATTTTTGAGAAAAAAAGAAAATAATATGTCTAATATAATTTTTTTATTGACCATATGTGCTTAATCGGCATTTAAGAAAAAATGATTTATTGTTCGAAAAATAATTGATTTCAATTCGTTTAGCCCCTAAGAAGCCTACTGTAAGTGGTGGTACACTGGGTTGTATGAGTAGTATTAATTGTTTGATCTAGGTGGCGTATAAGTAATATTGTGTTTCATACTACGTATACGTCTTAGTATTTATTTCTCTTTCGAGATGAGGAATTAAGACTAGTCTTATTAGGGAGCCCAAGAGTTATTGTATTAAATTTAAAGAATTACAGTTGATATCGGATATAAGCACATCTCATATAAGAAAGAAATCTCCGATTTTTTTGAGTTTCTTATATTCTATATCTACTGTATATGAAATATGCCTATATCTACATCGAATTCACATGCAAAACTATATCTATAGAAATTTATTGAAGAGGTCACATTTAACAGTTTGACTGGACTATTTAAAAAATGTCATATATTTGTCAGTAGGTAAAATGTCAGCTTAAAAATGGTTTAAATTGAATGTGTGTTTTAAAGTCAGTTAATCGTATGAGTAATGTTAGCAGTCATACGCCCTGAAGTACTACTGGATATTATTTTCAAAATTATTTCCATAATAGAAATCGATAAAGAAATTCTTTCGAATTTAAATTCCCAATGGATATTTTCATAAAAACATACTTGATTTTTCAAAACCATTATAAGTTCCCAGAAAGATTTAAAGATTTTTATCAAACTTCCAGAGTCAATTAAGATGAGATAAAATATATATTTGGAAAGTAATAAATACACTGAAATATGAAATTGAATACAGATCTGATTGTTTATAATGCTAACTTATATAATAGGAAGACCTCTATTTGAATGCAAGGGTTCGTATTGTTCTTGCCGGTAGTCCTACGCACTATAGATCCCTTCTAAAGATTTTGTTTTCAGGGAGTCGTATACATGTTTTCATTAATCATACGCCTTGCAGTGCAAGAATATGCAATATGGAATGTTTCATATTCAAAGGAATATGGAATACTTTGTAATATAAGAGAAGATAATTACAATCCAAGGGGTCGTATTATTGTTGCCGGTAGTCATACGCACTATAGATCTTTTTTCAAGATTGTTTTTCCCAAGGAGCCGTATACATGTTGACTGTAGTCATACGCCATGCATTTGTCTTTACTATTTCTTCTGTTTCTATTGTTTTTATTTTATGTTTTCTTTGTTTTTGATTCTTCTGATGAAAGGAATTTGGGTCTTTAAAATTATTGATAGGATATAAAATAATTATATTTTAACTAATATTGTGATATGGGGTGTATACATATTGTCCGGAGTCATACGCAATATAGCACAAAATTATAACCTAATCTGCAAGTAGTAGAGGATGATAAATTGCGAGATTTCGATCAATTGAAATTCACAAAGGCTTTCTTCAATTATAAATTTTGAATTGCTATCATTTGAAATTCTTCTAGCTCAGCTCCCAGTTCTACTCAATAAATTATTTTAACTAATATTCATTTTTTTTTGTGCTACGGGGTGTATACATATTGTCCGTAGTCATACGCTATACAGTACAAAATTATAAATTAGTCTGTAGTAGAGAATGAGTTAAAAAATAATAATTTGTAAAATTTCGATCACATGAAACTCAAACAGGCAATTTTGCATTTCTATCAATTGAAATTCTTCTAGGCCAGCTCCCAGGTTCTACTCAAAAAAAAAATAGACGAAAAATACGTTATAATTTCGTATTTCATTTTCTGAATCTATAGGTCTTTAGAAATATATAGTTCTGAGATTTTGTATATAGTAATTTTCTCTGACATTTATTTTTTTGGTACAAGGAATCGTATACGTTCTGTCAGTAGTTATACGCTATATAGTACAGTACATTATTTGTAGGATAAAATCGTAACCACAAAAGGCTTTACAAATTTCTATAATTGCGAGGGTATACAGTGCAGCTTCTTTATTATACTCTAAACTTACATGATATTATTATTAATTTTTATGTCTCAGCATATAAATTAATATTTAATAATATTTAACTCGATTTAAAATATGTTTCCTCAAAATTTTTTGGTACAATGGATCGTATGTGCGTTGTCAGCGATCATACGCCCACTGTTAGTGCAAAATATTTGAGATATGAAGCTCATTGCAGAATAACAACTTTTCAGGAACACTTTGATCACTTCTATGATTTTTTTACATCAATTTATTTACATTTCTGTTCTGCACTTATACCACTTGAAAATTATGGGAACATTACAAAAATTTTACTTCGATTAAAATTTACACAACTACTAAAATATGCAGCTCTATTTTATACGATTATATTATGCAGACCAATTTTATTTATCCGAAGGTTATAGTTTGTCTTTGGACGTTAATGAAAGCTCGACGGATTTCAGAATTTTTGTATTTCTAATGAAAAGAAAATAAATTATGATTGGATAATAATTGACCAGCTTTGAAGGAAATTTATATGTTTCCTCTATTTACTTTTATATAAAGGAGCGTATACGTATTGTCAGTAATCATACGCCTTCTGTTGGCATCATTCAATCGAAAAATTTCCTAGTTCGTTATGCTAGAACCACTGTAGAAGGAAATTTTTATATTTGTGCTATTTTTATATTTTATATTATATTTAATTTTCCAGGACCTGAAGGTCATCTCTATTATGTCCTTTTTGAATATTGACAGCAATAATTTATTCTGTATAAGGGATCGTATACGTGTTGTCACTATTCATACGCCGTATGTTACAAACGTAATGTCCTAAGGTAAAAGAAAAAAAAATATGATTGTATAATATTTGATCAGTTTTCAGGGGAATTTATATTTTTGATATATTTTGTTTTATACAAAGGAGCGTATACGTACTGTCAATATACATACGCCTTCTGTAAGTGTTGTTTCATATTTCATTATGTGAGATAGATGACCTGGCATTGTGGTAGGAAATTTTCATATTTTGTGCTAATTTTGGTAATTTTCCAGGATCCGGAGAACATCTATATAATGTTTTATTTTTTTTAAATATTGATAGCAATTGCATTTATTCTTTATAAGGGAACGTATACGTATTATTACTATTTATACGCCCTCTGTTACAAACGTAATGTCGTAAGGTAAAAGAAAAAAATATGATTGCATAATATTTGATCAGGTTTTATGGGATTTTATATTTTTGCCCTATTTTATTTTTGATATAAAGGAGCGTATACGTACTGTCAGGAAGTATTCGCCTTCTGTTAGAGTCAATCAATCGGAAAAATGTCTATTTCATTATGTGAGATAGAAGACCTTCTATTATGATAGAACTTTTCATAATTAATAATTAATTTCAACAGTCAAACGTCTGTTACAAACCTTATGTCCTAAGGTATTTCTTAAGATTTTAAGTTAATTTTAGGAATATAGAAATTTTTTAATTTTAGTTTCCCACAAAAAAAAAAGATTTTTTTCTTTGTGAGAAGGCATTTTGTATGACCTTCCTTTAATGATAAAAAATCTAAAAAAACTACTGAACACATTTACTTTAACTTTTGCATATGCCGCCAACTACTTAACACCATCACACTATCTCTAACCTATATGTTTAAGCTACAGACAATACAAAAAACTACACCACTACAGCCACACAAAAGCAATTTTATTCTACAACAAAAACAATTGTTTTCAAAAAATTCAACAATTTTTTTAAATTATTTTGTATATTTTTGTCTTTTCTTTTTTTCTCTCTTTTTCTTTTATGATTTTTATGTACCTAATTACTTCATTTCTTCACCAAAAAAAACCGACTATAAATTTTTGCCACTTCTACTGCCTTCTAAAAAACAAAAAAAAAAACTGCTTCTACGATGGATGGTATTTTCGGAAAAAACAAACACAAATAATTACAAACTCAAATCACACCAAAACAAAAAAACTGAAACTCATTTTGACTTCATCCATAAAACAAATAAAATTAATTTATTAATTAAAATAAATTAATTTACTGGAAAATAATAAATTTGCACACTCGCACACACACACCAAATAACTACTGCTTATTGGTGGGAAAAAACACTGATTTACAAAACGATAACAACAACAAACAAAAAATACTACAACAACTTGTTTAATTATACGCAAATGAATCAACCATTAAATTAACTTCGCACACAAAAATAAACAACAACAACAAAAATCCGAACAAAAAAAAAACATGGCAAAAAAACTCTCTCATTTACAAAATATTTTCAATGGAATATATATATTTACGTGTATTATGTTGCGTGTAATTTCATTGTGGGTGTATGGGGTGGATATGTATTTCTTTCATACTTTTATTTTCGTATACATACATATGTGATTATTACATATATGTGGAATTTTATGTTGACACACGTATGCATATGTATGCACATCAAAAAAATGCTGTGGCACTTATTATGCACGCATTCACACACCACACCACCACCAAACATACACACACCCACAAATGAAATGTAAAACCTACACACGCACATGATTGCAACTAGACTGCACCTGTTTCCGTTTCCGCTGCAACTTTGTCACATCATCACCACCACCAACAACAACATCTGCAACAACAATTACAACAACAACATCATCACCTACAACAACAACCACCACCACCAACTCAACAACAACATCAAACGACTACCACCACCAATACCCTCAACGGTTCTGCACTTATGGCCACTCATCAACAACAGTCACTACAACAACAACATCAGCAGCCAACTATGGCTAGTGCTGCAGCAGCAGCGGCTGCTGCCAATGCTGCAGCTGTGGCTGCAATGACTTTAGGCCAACAACAGCAACAACAACAACAACAGCATACCCTTGAAGTGGGCAAGAAACGTGCTGCCGATACAGACATGTTTCAATTGGTATTTTAATTTTTTCTTCTTCTTCTTTTCTTTTATTCTTTTTATATGTTGTTTCCTTATTCTCATTATTATTATATATTGTTTCCTTGTTGTGTTTATTCTTATGTTGTTAGTTTGTGTGTATTTGTTTTATTATTATTTTTTACATATATATACATATATACCAGTTGTGTTGTAAGTTATTGTGGTTAATTTGTGTAGCCCCCGTTTTTAGATTTTGAGTTCGTTAAGTAAATATGGTTTGCAGATGTTTTGTTAAAAAAAACTATTTAATACAACATACTTTATTTAATGAAAATATATACATTTTTATATAATTTATATACTAACTGCATGATATTACTTATATACATATTGATAAACAATTTTAATATTTTACAAATGTTTAAATATTTTATAAAATTCTAATTTCAAATTTTTAATCTACTTCGCTCAAATTAATATAAATTTCAATACAGTTTCTGCTCTGCACTCATACACTTACAATTATAGTAAATTAGAAAATTATAAGAACTTTTAGGAAATCAAACATTTTTACCAAAATTCAGATTAGATCCATTTGAAAATTTAAAATTGAAAATAAACCCCTTTTGAACGAAATTAACACACATACCGAAATTGTAAACGATTTTTTTTCTGTATATGTTATATATACGTATTTCCTTGAAATTTTTAGTATATATATTTTGTATATAAAACCAATTTCTTTTGTTCAGTTAGACTTATAGTGCATTTTAGTGTAGAATAATTTTAAATTTTATAAATTTATGTTTTCTTTACTAAATTGTTATTCAATTTTTTTAAATATTATAACTACAAAGTTCTTTTGTTTGGAGACTCATAGTAAAATTTAGCGTAGAATATTATTTCCTTAACGTTATTCAATTTTTTTAAATATTTTAACTGGATAAATTAAAGTTTTAAGCGAAAATGTTGTACAAAATCAGAAATAGAACCAAATTTGCACAATAATAAATATTTTAATAAAATTCACACTTTCATTATTTCGAATGCTATTTTCTACGTCCATATTAAAAATACCGATTACACTTGGTCGAAGACTTATAGTAAATTTTAGTGTAGAATATTTTTTCCTTTGATAACTTGCCCTAAAATTGAAGTTTTGGAAATCAAATTGGTCCAAATTGAAAATAGACCAAATTATTTAAAAATATATTTTTTCCTTACCTAAATTGTTATTCAAAAATATATATTTTTTTGTTTTCTAAAATTTAGCGTAGAATATTATACCTAATTTTTTTTTTAGGGCGAAAATTTGATTTTTTTTTATTAGTAAAATTACCAATGTTTAACGATATTATATATTACATATAGTTCTTTTGTTTGGAGACTCATAGTAAAATTTAGCGTAGAATATTATTTCCTTTAAAACCATTTGGCTAAATTAAAGTTTTAAAAATTTAAATTTGCGAAAATATGTTTAAATATTATATCTACAAAATTCTTTTGTTCGGAGGCTCATAATAAAATTTAACCCATATTAAAATTTTAAGGATAATATTACCAATCTAATTAAATTCCGATGGTATTTTGTTTGTATATATTATATATACCGATTTCATTTGTTTGGAGACTTGTAGTGAATTTTAGTGTAGAATATTTTTTCCTTTAATAAAATTCCCCAAAAATTACGTTTTGAGGGTATTTTGGCCTAAAATTTAAAATAATCAAAAAAAAAAAAAAAAAAAAATAAATCAAAATCTGAAATTTTAACCCAAATTGTCTTTGAGATTATATTCTTAAATATAATTACTACAGAAATATTTTGCTTGGAGACTCATAGTCGAATTTAGTGTAGAACATTATTCCCCTTTACGTCAGCTAGCTAAAGCGAAGTTTTCGGTCGAAAGTTAGTCCCAAATCGTAAAAGACCCAAATTCACACCTTAATATGTTTTTATAACAAAATTGATATTTACAGTTATTTGCAATGGCATTTTCTCTGTTTATGTTATATGTGCCGATTTCTTTTGTTCCGAATCTTATAATGAATTTTAGTATAGAAAAATTTTTCATTTAATAAAATTCCACAAAAATGACGTTTTGAGGGTATTTTGGCCCAAAATTGAAAATAAACCAAAAAATTAAAAATCTGAAATTTTAACCTAAGTTGTCTTTGAGATTATTTTGTTAAATATAATAGCAACAAAAATATTTTGCTTGCAGACCCACAGTAGAATTTAGTGTAGAGTAATATTTTATTTTAGGTCATCTAGCTAAATAGAACATTTAGGGGAAAAATGGGTACCAAATCGAAAAAGACCCAAATTTACACCATAATACATTTTTATAGTAAAATTACCACTCTAATTAGATTCCGATGGTATTTTATTTGTATATATTATATATACCGATGCCATTTGGTCGAAGACACCTAATGAATTGAAATAAAGAATATTTTTCCTTCTGAAACCATTCCCCAAAAATTATGTTTTGAGGTTAATTTGGATCAAAATTCAAAAAATCTAAATAATATGCCTAAAATATTATTGAATTTTTCTTGCTAAATATTATCCCGATTAAAATATTTTGTTTGGGGACTCGTAATAAAATTTGATAATATTTCCTTTTACACCACCTTCCTAAATCGAACTTTTAAGGACATTTTTCGTACCAAATCATAAAAGACCAAATATACACCACAATAAATTCTGATACCTAAATTAACACAATAATTTCCAATGATATATATATTTTTTTTTGTTTTTGTTTGAACCACAATAAATTCTAGTACCAAAATTAACCCATTAATTTCCAATGATATTTTCTTTGTTTGTATTATATACCCAATTCTTTTGTTTGATGACTTATAGTAAATTTTGGTAAATAACATTTTTTCCCTTTGATATTTTCCTCCTAAGATAACAAATTTGAGGGTAATTTGACCCAAAATTGACAAGACACCAAAACATCAAAATATGGGATTTATTTACCCAATTTGGTATTGAGATTATATTATTAAATGTAATATTTAGAAAATTAGTTTGTATGGCATCATATACAAGAATTTTATATAGAATACTATATCCTTTCACACCATCTACCTATATCGAAGTTTTAGGGGAGAAAATTGGTACCAAATCCCAATAGACCCAAATAAAAAAAAATTGACAATCATATTAATTTTAACTATCTTTTTATGAGTCCATTCTTTGTATTCCGATATACTGGATTTTAGTAACAAGTATGATCCGCCAAAAATTCTGTTTCGAGGGTAATCAACTCCCATAATTTCTAGGTGTACATAGGGGTTTATGTTATATTTACATTATATGTCCAATGTTTTACCCCTTTCATTTGGTTCGCCATTATTTTGAAATTTTGATATTTATACAATATACCGCCATAAAACATAATATCTATGTATGTATATGTGAGTGTGTGCGTGTGTTTGTTATCTCTCTCGTAATGTGTATCACAATATCATCAGGGATAATAAATCAAATCAAAAACAAGTGTTAATTAATATGATTAAGTAGATAATTGAAATATTATTAAGTGAATACCTACACTTAATTTAAAAGGTGAAAAAGTTAGCGTGGGCGAGGGATGGAGGAGGGTTAGAATGAAAGAAAGTGCGTGTGTTGAAAAATGTCATAGTTACCAGCAAACTTTGGGTTGAGTGTGCAGAAAGTTGACTTTTGCTTTGGGGTAAATTTGATTGCTCGAAATTTACATACTTTGGAGATGGAGTGCAGGGCAGAACAAAGATACAAATTTTGAATAATTTTTATAATTAAAATATATATATATATATATATATAATTTTTATTTATTTCAATTAAATTTGTTTAATGTATTATATTAAATAATATATTTATCAATATTATTTAATTTTTATATTTTTTTCTGATATATTTATTGCTATTGAATGCATTATTTTATTTTTAAAAAATATTTACAAGCTTTTGCTAAATGCTCTTTAAATATATTTATATAAACAAATTAATTGAATAATTTAATGCCTAAAATATAGTACCTACTGCTATTCCTGGTTTACCCCCATCTGATAATCACCAGTAATTTCTTTTTTATATTATTTTATATATATGAGTAAATATTACATAAATTATTTAATAATACTATTTGTTGTTATATTTTGCAATGAAGGACTGATATGGCCAAGGGGAAAGTATAGCAGAAAAATAGTTTATTAAAAACAAAAATTAATTTAGCAAAGATTAATAGATTGATAAACGATTGATAGTCCTGAAAAATATTATCTCCTTAAATCCATAACGTATTCCAAAACCTGTAAGGAAAGTAGTAAAGTCGGACTGGGCTATTTACATAAATCAGACGATTTTCAGGAAACTTAACACACATCATTCTAGATTCAATTCAGTACGCTATGCAAAATTTCGTGCAAATCAAAAGAAATATAGGTGCTTTGGTGCATCATTTACATAAAATCGGACGAAAATATGTATGGGAGCTATTTCTAAATCTCAACCAATTTTCACGAAACTAGCACACATCATTCCAGATTTAATTCAGTACGATATGCAAAATTTCGTGCAAATCCAAAGATATAAAGAGACTTTGGTGCACCATTTACCTAAAATCGGACGAAAAAATATATGGGAGCTGTATTTAAATCTGAACCGATTTTTACGAAACTTGGTAGACATTATTCTAGACTCAGCTCAGTACAGTACGCCAAATTTCGTACATATCGAAATATATATAGGGACTTTGGTGCACAATTTACATAAAATCGGACGAAAAAATATATAGGAGCTATATCTAAATCTAAACCGATTTTGCACAAAATTTTACACGCATCATTCTAGGCTCAGTTCAGTACGCTATGTCAAATTTCGTCCAAATCGAAAGGTATATATGGACTTTGGTGCACCATTTCTATTAAATCGAAAATATATATAGGAGATATATCTAAATCTGAACCGATTTTAACGAAACTTAACACACATGTGTCTATCTCGTTTCCTTTTGCCTATTACAAGCATATGCACAAAGATATAATACCCTTACCACAGTGTGGTGAAAAGAATAATTAGATGTTCTGAGGCTCGAAATTGAGAAATTATTTTCAGCAGGGACAAAACTTTTGAATTCATTAATTTTTTTTTAGTTTCTGGATATTTTCGTATATTTTTTCAATAGCAAACCCTTAGTAATATAATTCTGTAGAAAAAACCACAATAATAATCTTTTCTAATTCATAAAATCAGAGGAAAATCTCATTACCACTTTTTGTATCGACAAATATTATTTAAAAAATCGACGCTTCTTGATAGTCCCTGAAAAATATTGTTTAAAAGATCCTTGAAAAATATTCGTTAGAAAAATTCACAATTTTTGCTAGTACTATAAAATATTCTTTAAAATAATCCATTATTTACGATATTCCCCGAAAAATAAATTTTAAAAAATCCACGCTTCTGGGCCCCGAAAAATAATTAAAAAATTCCCCTCTATATATGGTCACTGAAATCTATATTAAAAAAATCCACGCTTCTCGGTGGTCACCGGGCGGTGTCTTAACTTGTATGGCCGTAGCTCTGATGACCCTAAAAATAATATTTTTTCATAGCATATTATTGCTGTGGCAGACCGCTTTTTATGGTAACTATTTGATGTCTCATAGTTATTCACATATATTTGTTGAAAAGACCTTTCGGAAATAAACAAATATTTAAAAAGCCCTTTAAATATATAATATAGCGAGATCTAAGATTTAAAAAATCTCTTTAGATTGTTCCCCATCAGGAAACCACTTTACTATTCAGTATCAATGCAATATTATTTGAACACTTTCTCTTTTAAAGTCATATCAGTTTCCTAATAATTCGTTCAATTATATTAGATTATTTAATTGTTTTTTTTTTATTTTTATATTTTTTATAAATATTTTAGCAATATTATATTTTTGATAAAAATTATTTATATTATATTTTTCTAGTCAATTATTTGTATTTACCTATATATGACCAGTATTTAACACAATATATATTTTTAAACATTTAGTAATTATAACATATATTTTCCCCCATTACAAATTTGCTAGAATATAACTAACAAAAGTGTTTTTCTCTTCCCTTCTTTCTCTTTTTTTGTGTTTCTTCCTAACTGCCCTACAAACAAACCATGTTGCCATTTTTGTAATAATAATGTTGATGTATAAATTGTAACAATGCTAACCATCATATCATGGCCTTATCAAAATGCTACAACAAAAACAACAAATTTCCCTTTCATTTTGCAACAACAAAAACAACGATCAAAAAATGCCAAATTTAAATAACATGCTATATAATCAACATTATATGCTGTATAACACAACAATGCCGTTGGATGTCGTCTTCTTCGTCTGCATTATTATTATCCTCATCATCATCATCAACGCCATTGTCGTCGTCGTCCTCGTCTTCATGTCTTGGCATTTGTCGATGAACCTATAAATATCCACACTAATGTGGGTCAACACGACTACAACATAACTGCTTGCTTGAATTTTTCCCAACGAATGCCATTACAACTACAACAACAATTGCTACTTCTGTCACGGCTACCGATGTACACTTGGTGCAATTGCAACAACTGAATTAAACTGTTCTCTACACTAATACACGAACAACAACTGTAAACTGCTGTTGTGTTATGCTTTCTTCGTTGGAAACAACAAACGAACCAATCAACCGCCCGTTGTTGTCTTAACATAATTTTTTGCGTTGCAACACCAACAACAACTACAACCATTACTACTACTACTATTGCTGTATGGATAAACTCCTGCTGTTACCATTATTCCTACCATTGTATGCTCTTCTTTTGTTTCCATGCATCGCACTTTGTGTGTATATGTGTGTGTGTGCTCTCTCCATCTCGAACACCCAACCAACCACATGCATCCAATATTTACACCAATCTCCTTGTAATTGAACAACATCGTTTGGCAACACCATCATGTTGTACAACATTTGCTTCTTCTTCTACATCGACTTCGACGTCGTCGTCATCTTCTTCGGTGTCATACAACGAAAAATTAAAAACGAAATTCTCCAATATTTGTTCAAACACATTGTGTTTGTATATTTGTATGTGTGCCCGTGTACGCTATTGCATATGCTTATTGCCTCCCTACTTTTGATCCTCCCTCAGATGGATGTAAAAGCGGTTGGTTCATTTTACTATGAGAATTTCGTAAGTATTTTGTTTGTTTGTTGTAAGCATGTAAAAAAATATATATAAATATGTATGTAGAAAATGCTTTTTGTTTTAAATATTGAAATTTTATTTTGTATATATTTAAAAAAAAAATTAGTAATTTAATTTTGATATTATAAATTTTCAGTTTGTGGAAAAGTGCTAAGAAACAAATTTTCTAGAGAGAAAATGCTTAGAGCCTTAGGGTAAAAAATTTTGAAGTTCGGAACTATATTTTCGACAGCACTTAGAAATTTTTTTTTCAAACATAAATCCTTATTTTTTTTGTAACAAAAACTACAGCAGTTTTATAAAAACTCCATGTCCTACAGGTCAGAGAGTAATTTTTTATAAATAAAAAAATTGTCAAGTCCTGACGATAATGTTTTTTCTATATAACCATATTCTTGATATCTAAGGACATGTTCCTATGAAAATATCTTTCCAATATTTTTTGATAGAAAAAATCTACAAACACCTGAGGAAATATGAGGGCAAACACTCAGAAATCTAATAATAAGGAGCCAGTTTTTCTACAGAAAAAATGCTCAGAACCTGAAGTCCAACCTTTGAAATGCGGAACAGTATTTTCTATACAACAAATCACTTTTATTCAACAGCAGCTGTCCACTTTGTTCTATTTTCAAAACTGCTGTTTCTTCCAATAAAAAAATCTTCAGACCCATTTTATATAGAAAACAGAAACCGGACCGAAAAATTATTCTTTTCAAATTCATAAAATCATCGAAAGGCCACTTTTTTCAAAACCCAAAAAAAAAAAAAAAACAATAATAAATAAAATAAAATCATGTCCACATTTTGTATCGACAAAATACTCATTAGAAAAATCCACTCTGTTAATAGTCCCAGAAAAATCTTTAAAAAAATCACAATTCTAGATGGTCCCCTATTTTTTAAAACCTTGCTGATATGTGGTCTCCAAAAAAAAAAAAAATATTTAAAAAATCCAGGACCCCTAAAAAAAATTTAAAAAATCCCCAAAAATTAATTTTGGATGGTCCCTGAAAAATATGATGATCCCTGGAAACCATTTTACAAAAATCCACGCTTCTTTATGGTCCCTGAAAAAATTTAAAATCCCACTCCTAACAAAGATCTACGAAAAACATTTTTTTAAAAAAATCGGTCAGCGTTATATTTCCGCACTCTTGTGTGGTAAGGGTTACTATATAATATCTAAATACGTAAGCACCTGTAAATATTTAAGTGTAACTCCCAGATCCGAGAACATACGACAATATAATTGGTATCAATTTAAAGGTCAGCCACCCCTCTTGAATATACTATCAATTTCTCGGGTCTATGTCCTTTAGGAGTAATTATACGCCGTAGAATCCAAATGTTGTTATTTCTCACACAAAAGTCAGGGTCCATTTGACCCGCTATATATTCACCGATCTTTATCAAAACAGGCATGTTTATTCTCCCCTTCTCCATGTAAAATTTCACGATGTTCGGGGGATAATTGCGGCCTCTGGAGCACCAGAAAAACCGACAAAAATTTAGTATTTGGTCCATTTCATCCCCTAAATATGAACCGATTTTTACCAAAAACAATCCTACATGCAAAATTTCGTGATGATTGGTCCATAACTGTGGTCTGTATCGTGTTTACAATTTATAATGGACAGACGGACGAACGGACACACATTTCTAGATCGACTCAGCTAGTCGAGATAAGACGATCGGTATACTTAAAGGTGGGTCTAGGACCAATATTTCGCGGCGTTACAAACTCTTGGGGCTCCATTCTTCACAAGGGTCCCCGAAAAATAATTTTTAAAAATCCACTCTCCACAAAGTTCCCAAAAAAAATTATTTTTGAAAAATCCAAATCCAAAAAAATATTTCTTAAAAATAGTAAACGCTTTTCGTAATCCCCGAAAAAAGTTGTGTGTGGCCAACCAATGGTCATACAGGCAATAACTAACAGCGCTCAATCAAAATATGTCGCCCAAACACAACATGGTGCCCAATCCCAATATGCCGCTTTGCAGCAATGGGCGCAGATCTATGGTCATCAGCAGCAACAGGTCCATCAAAACCTGCAGGCAGCTTATTTAACGAAACCCTTGAACACTTTTTTCCTATAGAAAAGAACTCCGGTCTCAGTATTTTATTTTTCTCTTTATGATTAATTTTTATAAAACTGAGATTATTTATTTTTGGGGGAAAAATATTTTTCTTCGGGAAAAAGAATAGTTTGTTCTTTATGGGAAAAAAATGAGCTAGCAAAGCAGTTTATGTATAGAAGAAATATTTCAGGTCGATAAATTTAAAAGAAATTAAAAATCCTTGGCCTGTAATTTATAAAGTTTTTTATTTATTTCTTATTGATGCTAATAAAAATTATATTTTTTATGTATAAAAGCTTGACATGTTGTTGTTATTATTAGTTTGAATTCATTTTTGACTAACACAACTATACAATTGTTTCTAATTAAAAATTAACAAGTTATATTTTTCGATTTATTATATTGTTAAATATTTCATATTTAAATAATTTTATTTTATTAATTATATTGTTATATATTTTGTATATAAATATTTTTATGTAATCTATATATCCCCCAATTTTATTATTTATTTTTATTTCTTTGTATTCTTGTATTCTTTTATGTCATATTGTGTTCTTGTTATTATAACAAATTTAATTAATCCAAAATTATTAATTATTTTAATTTTTCCCCCATTTAGGCTTACTCTGGCATGGTACCAATCAAACGTCCTGCTGCTGAAAAATCTGGCATTCCTGTGTATCCCGGTGCAACAACATACCAACAGTTAATGCAATTACAGCAGCCATTTGTACCAGTCTCATGTGAGTATCCAACTCAAAATAGCACAAGCTCTTCTACTACTACTGCTACTCCTACTACTACCCATACCAATATTACTACCAATTGTAATACAACTACTACTACTACCAATATTATCAATTGTAATTCTGCTGCTAATGTTGCTAGTGCTGCTGCTGCTACAACAACAGCAACAACTTCGTCAGCATTATTAGGTGCTAATTTAACACACCACCACCAACAACAACAACACCAATATCACCTACACCAACAGCAACAACAACAGCTGTATTTACAAACATCCACACAATCATCAACAAATGCCTTGTCCTCTCTGTCCTCCTCCTCCAATTCCACATCATCCTCAAATTCCGCAACTGGTTCGAATGGCCAAACATTATTAAATACCAATATTCCTCCACCACCACCACCCACACAACAACAACAATCCCAATCCTCAGACAGTAACAACAGCAACAACAACAACACCACCACACTTTTAAATAACAATAGTTGTAATGAAATGTCGACAACAACAACACCAACTACTGCTAGTAGTAGTACCGATAGTAATTTGTCCGTAAATAATGCTAGCAGTAATGACAACAACAATTTGAATTCTAGTAGTAGTAATGAAAATAGCAACAACAACAACAGCAACTGTGAAAACAATCACAACAACAATAATAGTAATAATAATAATTGTCTATCGTATGCTAATAATAATTTAAATAATAGCACTAGTCTTAAGTTGAGTCCCCATCCTGATAATAGCACAGATGAAGCCTCGGCAGTAGCATCAGCAGGAGAAACCGATGCTACGGAATCTTCGAAAAATTCGGAGTCATGTAATGGTCAGAATGACACGACTAGCAATTCCTTAGAAAACTCCGATTCAAATGTGTCACCATCTAAAACCGACTCCGCTGCTCCTGCTGCTGCCGATGGCAATTGCAACAGTAATCGTAACACAGAGCAGCCAGATAATGAGGATAACAAGTCCGAGGGCATTACTAACACACCAACACAAGCTAACAATACTCATGTCTATATGAATGGCAATGCCAAATCACCACCGTCCAACAAAGAGGCTCTTAATGGCCATCATGATTCTAATTTGTCGCATGTCGACCAAAGCACAGCTTCGGCTGCTAACAGTCATGCCAAGACACCTTTACAAAATGGCTATGCCACCACCACAAACACCGCTTCGGGCCACACTTCGACAGGCATTTTGCCGACACCTCCATTGCCGGTCACCTCTTCGGTGGTTACCAATGCCTATCAGGCCCAACAGAATATGCAACGTTTGTATCAACAATCGTACAATGCTGCCGTGGCAGCTGCCGCTACCTCCTCAGCCTCACCCTATGGCTCGGTAATGACCAGTTATGCCAATTCTTTGCCAGCATCCACTGCGGCTACGGTCGCCCACTACACCTCACAAGCTATCACAGTACCTTCGTACAGCACAGCCTATGGCTACAGTGCTTATCCCAGTGTCAGTAGCAGTGCCTCGGGTGGTGGCTATTATGCTGATGCCGCCGCCCTGGCCAAGGAAGTGGCACAAAAGAATTATGCCAATGCTGTGAAGGTGGCTAATGCCAGTGCCACTTCGTTGACGGGTAAGCCACTTACGGCGGCCGCAGCCCCAGTGGCCTATCCCAGTCTGACCTTCAACAAGGCCTTTATGACGGGCCACAACACCGCCGTGCCACCACCCAATATGATGGCTCAACAGGCGGCCATTATGCAGGCCCATGCTGCCCAACAGCAAGCGGCTGCAGCAGCTGCCGCCGCGGCTCAAATGCGCAGTCTTAGCGCCTTGCCCAATTCAGGTTTAACCAGCCAGGTGGGAACACCTGTACATGGTGCCAGCAATGCTGCTGCCACACAAGCTGCCGCCTTGCTGCAACGGCCGGCAACGGCTGCCACAAGTTACATGCAAGCTGCTGCAGCCGCTCAAAATGCTGCCCTCATGCGTGGTCAACCCATGACCATACAGGCAGCAGCTGCCGCCGCTCAATCACAATATGCCGCCCAAACACAATATGCCGCCCATGCTCAATATGCCGCTTTGCAACAACAGGCCCAGGCCCATGCTCAGCAACAACAGCAGCAACAGGTCCAGGCCCAGCATCAGCAGCAACAACAACAACAGGCAGCTTATTTCTTTCCCGGCGGCATGATGCCGGGCTATCAATTTGCCTTGCCAACGGCGGCAACTGCCCTGCCAGCCGGTATTGCCACACATCCCTCCGCCGCTCAATATGCTGCAGCAGCTGCTGCGGTCACAGCCACTGCTCCCGGTGCAGCAAATAGCGCCCTGGTCTTAAACCCCTTCAAGAAAATGAAAACATCCTAAGAAGGATGCTTTAGGTTTTACAACGAACTAAACTGAAAACCAGAAAAAAACAACGAATAAAAGCTTTCCCGTGAAAGTTGTTCGTTACTTTTATGAATAGGACAAAAAAGAGAAACTCAATCGCTCTCTTTTGTTTCCTTCCTCCCACAACAAAAATAATACTCCTTTTTTAAATTAAAGAGTATTTGAAAGCTTTAGGAGTCTTAAGATACCCATGACCCTCTAAAGCTTTTGGCATTATTTTCAACTAATAATGTACTTAAATTATGTTAAATAATATTTAAATTTTCCCCGTTTTGTAAAACAAAAAACAATAACAACAAAAACAATTTGTGCCTAAGTTTCAAGGAAAAAGAAAAATTTTAAACGGAAATAATTTTCATTATTATTTTCCGTTAATTACAATTTTGATTAAATTGAAAAATTCTTCTTTTGAAAGAACTAAAAAAAAAACAGAAATCCAATCCCGCCTTAAAAACATAAATCTAAAATCCCCAACTCGACGAACTTGAAATGGTTTCTAACTTAAAAAAAAATCATATCTGTCAAGTGCTCTCTCGTTTTCTCTCTGTTTTACTTTGTTATTTTAGAAAATATAGGTTCCCAAAAATATCCCATCAATTAAAGAACTTTTTTAAATACACATTTAAAACATATATATATATATATATATATATAGAAAGCTCCTTATTGTAATATATTTTCAAATCTTCCATTTATTTAGTTAAAGCTTCTATTTCACTGCAGTACAATGTTACAATTTTCTAGGATCATCAAATACTTGAAATACTCATGAAAGCTTTTGGTACGCTTAAAATTTTCTAGAGCTCACACAAAGCTCTAGGTCATCACAAATATTTTAAATTAACATTTTTAAGAAAATATTTCTTAAAAATAAATTATCATTCAAAAGCTTTATATTATTACTATAATTTTGCAAAGAGATCCATTGCAAAGCTTTTGTGTTACTGTTCTCAAAATACTCAAATATAATACGAACCGGTATTAAAAGCTTTTATAGTTTGAACATGGTTAAATTATTTCGATAAAATTTTGAATCAGTTTACAACAAAGAAATTTAAAAAAAGCTTTTCAAGAGCATACACTTAGTTCTTATTAAATTTTTAGAGATCGATGATCATTGTAAGAATTGGAAAATTCATTTACCGAAATTAAAGAAGATTTTCTTAAGAGCTTTTTTGTACCATAAAAGTTATATATTCAGAAACTCGATGATCATAGAATTGAAATGTTTCTTACAATACTAGGAAAGCTTTTATAATTCGCAACTATAATATTTTCAATAATTTGGAAAGCTTTCGACTGAAAATGAGGCAGCTTTTATACAATTAATTTAAATCTCTAAAACATTTTTAATACAGCTTCTCAAATTTTCAATTAAAAAAAGCTTTTAGAAGATTTACTTTAAAGAGCTTTTTTAGTCCATGATAATTACATATTCAGAGATTAATTGATCCTTTCGAAAGCTTTTATATGCAATAAATAATTGAAAAGTTTATATATATCATATCTGGTTCTGTACGAAGAGCTTTCGATATTGCGGTTTTGTAATAAATCTTATATCTTCTTTCTTATAATAATTAGATACAGCAAAAAAAGGTTTTTACAATTTTCTGATTTGTTGTATATATAAAAGCTTTTTACGGAAAAGTCTTTATTTAATATTTAACAGCTTCTATAAAGTTTAAATCAAAAACAATTTAATATCGTATAAAGCTTCCTAGAAGAAGTCTAGAAGCTTATATCACTCTTTAATAAATAGGTCTGGAAAATCTTTCGAATATTTTTCTTTTCTTTCTGCGAAATATATAAAAGCTGCGATAAATGTATCACTACAAACGTGGTAGTAACAGGAAAGCTCTAAAGTTGTTTCACCTATGTGGGAATTACAGTGTACAAAATTTTCAATGCTCTTCTAAAGCTGTATAATTCAAGCTTATCTACGAAAGCTTTTAAACTTGTTTATATGTGTTTAATGATCGTTTATAGTAATTAATAATTTAATTTTCAGTGGATTTTTTTAATTACAAAAAATATAAAATAAAAATTCTGTCTATGGAACAAATTTCAGTACTTTATTATAAGAAAGCTTTCAAATTTTTTAAATATCCGGAAGCTTTGAAGATTTCTTACAATAATATAAAGCTTTTGTACAGCAAACACATTGAAACTTTGTTACTAATTTTAAAAATTATTGTTGAAAAAATCAGTGAAGACTTTGAGGTTTAGCTACGATTAAAGAGCTTTCTAAGCTTGATATTTTCATATTAAATTGATGGGATATCTAATTGTTTTTTGTTCTTAGAAACCTTAACATATAATTTAGTAGTAGTAGTTTTTTATTTAATTTATTTACTTTTAAACGAAAAAAAAAAAATAAAAGAAACCTACTTGCCCTCTTTGACCTTTGAAAGCCGTCCTTAAACTTGTCGCTCTCTTACAAAACCCAGTTATCACTCTCTCTATTATTTAATTTTTTTGTCTATTACTCGCCAGTCAGACTTGAAAAAATATATGCCTTAATTTTGCCATACGTTTTTTAGTAATTTAATTTAAGTTTTTTTTTTAATTTTAATTAATTTTTTGCCAGTGAGTGATGATGTTGTGTTTTTATTTTAAGTGATTTATTTATTAGTTTTGAGTTTTTGCCATGATTAGAGCTTTACGAAAGCTATACACATATATATAGATTTATAGAGATTAAAACAAAAAATTAGGTTCCTTTAATTGTAGTTTATTTTTTTAGTGTTTTATTTATTACAAATGAAAAAAAACGAAGAAAAACGAAACACACAACAAAAAACGAAGTACTGTGATAGCTTTTAAAACAAACATAAAACAGCAAACAAAACATGTCTTGTCTTTAATGAAGTAAAAAATTGTCTTTATGCTCTCTCCAGACCCCAAGCACTTAAAACCTTGCTTAAAATACACACTCTCAAAAAAAGCTTGACTTAGTACTGCGTTAACTTTAGAAACTATGAAACGAACATCACAAAATTTAAAGCTACTAACATTTGATTTAATATTATTATGACTTAGGTTCCTAAACTCTACAAAAAATACAATAACTAACTTGAAGACTAGCTTTGTCTTGAAAAAAAAAAAAAAAATATTTATATATAGAATGTGCCCCCTAAAAGTAAATCTGTTCTGATATGCTTCATATATGGAAATGGTGTATGAAAGGGTTTTATGTCTTGAAAAAAATTATAAGAAAACCCTCATTAAAGCTTTGGTGTTAAGCTTTCTCAAATATTTAATTATCTTTTGGTGTTTAGTGTTTTAGCTTTGTCTAATGAATCAAAGCATTTGTGGAAAGCTTGTGTAGTAATGCCCCTCATGATTAAAAAAAACCTACGAAAATAATACTTAATTAGCTTAAAAGCTTTATTATTCTATGTGCTTAATATTTATTATAAATCAAATATATAAAATATTTTATATAATAAAATCATATTTTTATATAAATAAAAATTATTATACAGGGTGAAGCACAAAAAAAACCTTAAATTTAAAGCCAAAAATTATGAGCAGAAAATTTGGAAAAATTATTTTCAAAATAAATAAGGTCCCAAAAAGAAAGGCCTTTAACTTAAAAAAATAATGATCTGAAAGTTTGGGAAAATTCATTTCCAAATAAATAAGGTCCCAAAATAATTAGTGACAAATTATAAAATTTATTTCAAAATTAAATTAAATTATAATTTTAAAATTAATATATATATATATATGTGTGTGTGTATATATATATATATATATATATTATTCGATATAATTTAAAAAAATAAAAATTTGAGTTTGAGTTTTTTTTGCCACACCCTGTACAAATTAAAAATTTATAAAAATTTAAATATAAAAAATTTTAAGCATAACAACCCATTTGAAAGCTCTCTTTGCAACGATACTGTTGTTAGGTCCTCATTGACTCTCTTTAATTGTTTTTTTTTTTTTCATTTTCCACTCTCTCTCTGTCTCCTACTCTCTGTCGACTTCAATGCAAATGAACCTATTTTTTGTTGTCTTGATACAGTAAAAGGTTTATTTAAATGAAAAAATTTAAACATATTTAGGCTATTTATTAAAATGTATAGAAGAAAAAAAATATTTTTTAATTAGTTTGGAAATTTTTGTAAAAAAAACTTTTTATTTAAAAAAAAATATCTTGTCCTAGTTATTTGTTATGTTAGATCTCGCTTTTTACTATTTAATTTTCATTGTATTTTTTTATTTCTTAATTTTGTGTCTTAACTCTAAATGTTTGCCAAATTATTTTGAAAACGAAAATCTATTCTGCCTTTTCTGTTATCTCTTTTTGTTTTTACGGCTTAAATAAAAGAAAAAAATTATTCTTATTAGAATTTTTTACTACACTACTTATTAGAACAACACTATTTTAAACACTATCTATGCCACCATTTGTTCTTTTTTTTCGTACACCTTATACACCTATCCACCTACTACTTAAAACCCATTGGCCCCCATTATTTGCCAAAACAAAAACACTATTTTGTTTATTTCGAAAAATCAAATTGTTATTAAGAAATGCTAAATGAAAATAAAAATTGTGTAAAGCTTTGTTTATTTAAAAAAAAAAGTTTGATATAAATTAAAAAAAAACTGATTGTAAACCCTTAATACAACCACAAAAAAAAACTTTTTGTATTGAAAATGCAAAGAGCTAAAAAAAAAAACTATTAATTATTTTATTGTAATTTTTAAATATTGGATTAGCTGTTCTCTTAGTTGTGTTAAAATTTAAATTAAAAAAAAAAAACGAAAATCACAAAAAAAAAATCTTTAAAAAATATTTATACTATTTTTTTCTCTAATAATAAGCCTTTTTAAATGTAATATTATTAATAATAAACATCACCTGCCTATTATGTTTGTGCTATATTAATCTCTATATTACAAAAAAACAAAACAAAAACTTACTTAATATCACTTTTTGAAATTAAATATTATTATAAATATTT